GGAAGGCATGAGACTGTATCAATCAATGGAGAAACATGGAGTGATCAAGAACATGAAGCATTATGGTAGCATGGTAGACATGCTCGGAAGATCTGGGCGGCTAAAGGAAGCATATGACATTATAGTGTCAATGCCTATGGCTCCAGACGTGGTGTTATGGAAGACACTACTAGGGGCTTGTAAGACTTACAAAGCTTTGGATATGGCCGAGAAGGCAGCAGACAAGCTCATTGAAATGGGATCAAACAGTTGTGGAGATTTCGTTTTGCTTTCCAATCTATATGCTGCGCACAAGAAGTGGACTGATGTAGGAAGAGTCAGACAGGCAATGAAGAACTGGGATGTCAAGAAAGTGCCTGGTTTTAGTTATGTTGAAGTTAATGGTTTGATGTACAAGTTTGTGAATGGAGATAAGAACCACCCTGAGTGGAATGCCATTTATGGGAAACTTGATGAGGTATGGTTCAGAATAAGTGAGTTTGGGTATGTGCCAGAAACGGAGTATGTGTTGCATGATATAGAGGATGAGGAGAAGGAGAACGCGTTGGCTTACCATAGCGAGAAGTTGGCGGTAGCTTTTGCTTTGATTAGTACAAGAGATGGGACCCGGATTTGTGTAAACAAGAATATAAGGATCTGTGGGGATTGTCACATTGTCATGAAGCTTGTTTCAAAGGTTTATCTGAGGGAAATTATTGTGAGGGATAGGGCTCGGTTTCACAAGTTTAAAGACGGGTCTTGTTCTTGTAGAGATTATTGGTGAAATTTTGCTTTTTTTTGCTCTAAATTTTGCTTTTTTAGATTATTACAAGAAAAAAACTTGCTTTGGGTAACATTCTTTGTAGATTCAACTGGTGAGACTTGTAAAATATTTGTAGATATCACATGGATGTTCTGCAACATTCATTTCATCCAAATGAGGTTACACGTCATTTATTTGGCTGAAATAGCATAATAATGTACTAAAAACAGTACTCCGTATTTGGTAACATCCTTGTTAGGCGACAACAGGTCAAATTTACACCAGATGAAGCTAACATATTCACGCCTCAATTATTCATTATTCATTAATGCATCCATCATCCATTAAAAATAATTACATTCAAATTCAACTCATCCATCATGAACAGAAGAACGGGTTGTCGAACGGATCAAGTCAAAAGAAAAAAAAAACAAATTATAGAGAAAAAATCATCACAATTAAAATAAAATTTTAAAAATTGATTGAATAATAATAATAATAATAAATTGAGCAGTTGAGCATGTCACAATCATCAACTTATTGGAATATTGAACCACTGCCTAACTTGTAGTACGAGAGAAAATGGTAGTAACACTTCTTTAAATAAAATAATTCATTTTTTATTTGTATATGATATACGCAGTATTAATATACGATAGTATTAATTATTAGCTTCTAAAACAAAAAAGTGATTTCCAAACAAAAAATACATAAAATTTATTTAAATAAAATATATAGTTCATTTTATTTTTATATGATACATATACATGTATATTAATTATGGTTTTAGTTCAAATAAGAATATGATCTTATGAGAAAAATGAGAATGAATCTGGACCGTTAGATTTGCTTTATGTGAAATTTAATGTGCATTAAATGAAACTGTAATGTGTATTAGGTGAACTTGAAATGTGCAACACAAATGATACAATGTAGTGGCATTATGTGAAGCTAAATTGTTCATTATGTGAATTTAAAATGTGCACTAGATGAAACTAAAATGTACAGAATAAAAGGTACGATGTGATGTTATTTTTGTACCATTTATTCTGCACATTTCAGTTTCACCTAATGCACATGTGAGTTTAAATTTTAATTCCGCACATTTCAATATCATCTAATGCACATTTTGGTATCACCAAATGCACAATTCAGTTCCACATAATTCAATCCAACGGTCCAGATTCGTTCTCATTTCTCTCCTAAGATCCGTTCTTACCGGAACCGCTCCCTATGAATTATTACATATATTATTATATAGATATTATTAATATATATGCACTGTGTCACGCCCCGGACCTAGCCGGACACGTCAACAACCCGCCGTACAGTACGAATAGTCAACCGCAGTCCAACTCATCCATACTATACAAGGCGTCATGAATATCATTCACACACAGTACATCCATAAACAAACATAATGTAAAACATTCATTTAAAACAGCGGAAGCATTTAATAAAAGTGTCTTAGCCACACTTTGGCAAACATGAGCATGCAAGCCCCCAAATAGTTATTCAAAATAATATCCATGAGCATTATTATAATTGTTTTGAAATCAGAAAACAGAAGAAGCATGAACCACGTCTTCTCCTCTGAATATCCCGAGCAACGGGCACCGGTAGCAACCTTCAAGTCCTCCTACCTGAAACTGTGAGGTGGCCTCCCCCGTGAAGGGGAGGTCAGTACTTGGAAATATTTGACAAGTACAATAGCAACTATACTAAGTATAATCAACGTTTTAATTTCCAAGACCCTCAAAATAGGGTGATATCATAATATAAATGATAATTTATATTTCCCACTTATTATCCTTATAATAAGTAAATTTATTTATTCGTCGGCACACGGCCCTTCTTATATATCCCTTTTTTTATTTATCATTTGCACAACCCAACCCTTGGGTCCTATTATTTCTACGGGACTTGCTACCGCTGTCCGAGACCTCGTGAGGCTCCCGGTTCGGACTCCAACATCCCGCCCCTGGACTCATACCCATCATCCCGTAGGAAGGTAAGGCCCTTCGAGGTCCTATCTTATGTGTTACCGCTACCGGAACCTAGTTAGGTCTCCGATTCGGATTCCACCCTAACCCGTGATCACGATGTAAGTCCATGCTATCCAACCCCGCTCCCTAGAGTCCGGAAGGGCCATGGTCCTTACTTATTTCCATAATTCAACCGGCTATCCACAAGGACTACCGAACACACCCGTAGGCCAATCATATACCTAGGATCAATTTATTACTTACTTTATCTTGGGTATCCCTTAGGGCCTACCCCTAGTACAACTTAGAGTTCATACTTTCCTACCTTAAAGCATCTCTTAAGACTACTTAAGGCATAACATTTCACAATCCACTCTTAGGATCAATCTTAACAACATTTCATTTTAATGTCCAACTAGTATCTTAATACTAGTCAAATTCATACCAATAAACCAAGTTCTCAACTCATAGTCATATAGACAATTCCAACTGATTTTTCTTTGAAAATGTCATTTATCTCAATATTCAAAATATCACTTTTAATCACTCATATATTCAAATATGAAGAGAAATTATATTTCAACATATGTTTCATAATTAATTCCACTTTCAAGTCAACCTATTCATAACACATGATCATACACAATTTACTCTTAAATTTGTATATCATGCTCCCTTTTCTTGAGACATTTAGTCTTTTCATTTTTTAGGCATTATTAATCATTAATAATCACAAAAAAACACATTTAATTACCTTCGGTAATCTCATGAAATTAACTCACTAATTATAAGCAATATAGTCAGCCATCCTCACCTCGTGATGTGCTACAATAGTTGCCTTTGTTAAGCCCCTCGATCAATCCCCGTTCTAGGCCGATTGAAAGTGAAAACCTGGAATGCTGAGCCAAAGCCGGGCGGCTTTCACGAAAGCCGGGCGGCTTTCGCAGTCTGCAACTACGAACAGCTCCCTATATGTGGCGGTTTCCGGCGATTTTGACTCCTATCGATTCACCAACTCTTCTAAGTTAATTACCACCACTTTGTATCAATATTCTACACTTTTAAACGTGTAGAACTTCATGTTTAATCCACCATATGATTTCTTAAAAATCATACTACAAAAACTAGTTAAAAGAACTATTTGAGTTCTTACCTTAATTCCTAGCCTTTTTGAGTTGGATTTCCTTTACTCCTTGCTTCCTTCAAGCTATGAGCTTTGTGAGGGTCTTCTCCTGAGCTCCTCTCCTTGCCTTGGTCGTATGATTGAGGGTGAGAAATGATAGGAGACAACTCTCCTCAATCAAATGGGGAGTTATTGTGTAGGACATGGGGTTTGGTCTCAATCCATCCCCTCTCCCTATAGTTCGACCCCAGCCCCTTTTCCTTGTCTCTTCCAGCTCCCATTCAGTCAAATGGAGCACACAAAAACGTGGGGTGGCCCCCACTTTGGTGGGAGGTCATCCCGTTATGTCCCGGTGTGTACACTCAGCCCCGAAAGTTATATTTCTCGGTCCGTTTTAATCATATTTTACTTTATCGGACCAAATAAAATATATCACGCGTTCCCAATAATTATGGGCCTTTAGAATAGATGTAAATTCCCCAACATTAATTTTGGAGCCTCTGAAACTCACTTCGGGCTGTTATCTGCTAAATTACCAATACCGGTAATTGGGCCCGTTTGACCGACCGGTCAACTTCATGACTTTCTTATGGCCCAAATAAAATATCCACCTCCACATAGATGTCATCTAGACCAAGATGAATATAATATGTGGTTCAGGAATTATCGGGCGCCCCCCGGTCCGGGCGTGGGCCCACATGCAATTTACTATTCACGTAAAAGAAATAATAAAAATTTACAATCACGCAAATTCATAAATCCTCCTTCAAGGTTTATTACAAAATTTACTAAAAGTAAACATGCTTGGGGACGGTGCTACACACTGTGTGTGTTTATATGTGTGTGTGTGCGTGTGTGTGTATAGGACAATGATTCTGTCAGGTCGGCCTTAGAATGATTTGAAAACTATCCATCTAAGACCTAAAATATATATTTAGGTCTTAAATTGATATTTTCAATCATCCCAGTATCGAAGCATTTCATCTTTTAAGTACCTTATCGATAGTTAACCCATCTTTCCATCTTGAATTGATAAAATTCTCCAACAATCATACATCTTCACTTTGTATACCCACTTCTTTCAAGGGATTATCTCTCTTTGAGAGTTTCACACTTTCACCTAGGGTTGGACTCGGACCGGTCCGGTACGGGCCGAGCCTGACCAGGCTTTTTTTTTTGTTTCTTGAGGCCTGGAACCGGCCCGGGTAGCTACCAGGTCCGGATCGGGCCGGGCTACTCGGCTGAGTAGCGGGTCGGGTTTGGGCCGGGCCAGGTAAGGGTTATTTTTTTGTTTACAAATTAATTCAAGATTTGTTGGATATAAAAAGTTAAAGTATATTTATTTTAGGAAACATTGACAAGAATAATCCCACCTTTCACTCATCCTCTCATAATAATTCTACCTTTACATAATCCCAAAATAATCCCACCTTTGCATCCTATCTTCTTTCATTGGACCCTGACCAAGTTTTTTACCTTTCTTTGAAAATCTTATATAAATAATCTCACATTTATAAAGATATAATAGAAAAATGAAAGGTAAGATTATTTATATGATTTTCAAAAAAAGAATAAAAAACATGGTCAGGGTCCAATGAAAGAAGATGAGGTGCAAAGGTGGGATTATTCTGGAATTACCTGAAGGTGGGATTATTATGAGAAGACCAGCGAAAGGTGGGATTATTGTCAATTTTTCCTTTATTTTAAATATGTAGTACAATTGAGAATTGCGAAAATATTTAAAACATGAAATATATTTTCTAATAAATAATAATCAATCGGAATCTCCGCCATCTTCGGTTGTTTCTTCCATAAAGTGGCGGCTGGGGGCGATACACACTTTTTGAATTCTACATTGGGCCTTCAACCAATCGTGGAAGCAAACAAGCGTCTCAAGAGAGTTTGCTCTCAATCTCGTTCTATAATCCATTAGCATGTTGCCGGCTGCACTAAGTTCTTGTTCCACGACAACTGTTGATACTGACATTGCTAGCACTTGCTTAGTCATCTTGATAAAATCGGGAACGTTCTTTCTTTTTCCTTCCACCACTTTAGAACGTCAAAGTCACCCCTTCTTCATAATCAACAGGAAATGTTAGATACATAGAAAGCTCGTTAGTCGAACTTTGTTCATTAACGAGAGTTGATTTAATTTTTCATAAGATTGCCAAATGGAGATTAAAAAAATGATTTTCCTTTAGATGAACATGTTCATTGATAGCCGTTATATTTACTTGCGTTTAACATAAGTATTTATAAGTATTTGTTGAAGAAAAGAAGAGAAATTGGGAAAATATCTTGAGAATGAGAGTTAGAGCATAAAACATTGTGATGAACGGCTTTTGGGACCAAAAGGATGACGTTTTTCCCATCATTTGAGTATAACATATTGTAGAGAACTCGAAATCACTCCATTCGAATTTCATGTGAATGGTAACTCAATAAGGTACAAATGTTATGAAGACATCATGGCCAGAATAGGAAAGGAACAATACTCAATCAACCGATAAAGTCAGATGTTGCTGGTGGGATTTCAGGGTGCATACCTCTCAGTGTTTTATCCATATCTGTTGATTGGATGAATACAATCACGTCATTCAAGTTTTGTTGGATAGAAGACTTAATTATCTACAACTTTGATGAAGGAATCATGTCCAAATTCGTAGCGGAACATCTCCAAAATCCCGGTACAAAAACCGACACTTTTTGATCCATTTCGGAGAAAGAGAAATGAAGTACATTTTTGGGTGCAGCAACCGGCGCCGGTCGGTCTTGAACCGGAGTCGGTCGGAACGTTTTTTCTCGCACAAATGAGCCTGTTTTCAATCGGGGCCGGTCATCTGACCAACCGGCGCCGGTTAGGTCGATTTTCTGCTAAAAAACAGCATCGTACAAGCTGATTCTTGATGGGAAAACCCCATCTTCCTCAATGCTAATCAAATATTGCTTTCATACCTCATTGTTGGGTTCGAATAGACTAAAAGATGTCATTCTTTAGCCTATATAAAGCCCTCAATTCATCATACAAACACATTCCATTCCATAGATTAAATCTTAGCTTTTATATTTTTGTTCTTGGTATTTTCTTCAAGTTCTTGAGGAGGGAAGTTCATCCTCCGAAATCATCGGTGTTTAGGTATTATTTCCTTTGTAATTTCATGTTCCATTACATTTATTATTGTATTGTGATTAATATGAGCATTAGAGGCTAATTTCTTAGCTAAGGCTAGGGATGAACTTCTATGCCCACTAGGTGTTTGATAAAAGTTCTAAACCAATAAATTGTGATTTATCCTTTATATATTGATTGTTTATAACTATGGTGTACAACATAGAAGTATGTTAAATTTAGTTTATACTTGCAATTAACGTTGAAGTCTAAACTATGAACACTAAAGGATAAACATATATAGTACCGAGAATAGAAATATATCCGGTCTTATATGATACGGGTGTGATGTCTTGATATTCAACGGGGTTTTCGGTAGATGAATGTAAGCCGTAACGGGACTTACACGTAACGAAAACCACGCTCTCGCTGCCTTAACCGGAGTTGAGAATATATTAGCGACATCGTACTCATAATTATTGGCAAAGAACTAATATTCAACCCTATTTAAGCATTTAAGTGATTCCCGAAGCCTTAGTTTTTGTTATCATTTATCTTGAACTCAAAGTTAGTTAACCATTATCTTGTTGAACAAAAAGTGAAAAAACCAAAAATATAAAACACAAATCAAAATCCCTGCACTCTATTCAATTCTTCATTTAAAGTTATCTACTCTCGGACTTGAATTAAACAATGTTTCCTTGTGGATTCGACCCGGTATTTTACCGGAATTTATTACTATATCGGTACTTGTACACTTGCAAGTTTAGCCCGATCAAGTTTTTGGCGCCGTTGCCGGGGAAACGGTCTTGTTTAATAATGTCCAAAACAATAAAAAAAAAATCAATCAAAAATCCTGAATTTTTCATTTCCCATTGCTTTTCACTTGTTCTTGTGGTATTTTTCATTTCATGTGTGTAGCCTATGCTTTGTGTTTGAATGCATTTGAGAAGTCAAGGTTCTACACATCTTGAACCTATTGATCATGAAATAAAAAGAACTTTCAAACACAACCAGAGGGAAAGAAAAGAAGCAAAAATGATGTCAACACTCAATGAAAGGAAGAGGCTCGTGGTTGCCGCCACTCCCTCATGTATTGTCCTAAGTGAGGCGGCAAGGGACTATGAAATGAAGAATAACTACTTCAATGCTATGCCTCAATTTCATGGTCATCCGGGGGAGAATCCACTTAACTTCATCACCGAGTTCTATGGATTCATCAGAAAATTCACAAAAAGCGCCGACAAGATTAACAGTTTCAACAAAAAATTGGATTGCAGTAGGTGTATAAACATGACTAAAAGTTTGTGTTGCATTATTAAAATATACAAAAAACATTCACATTTTTTCCATAGTGTCGATGTCAGCCGGGTTTATAATATAGTTAACATATTCTTTCAAAACAACAGAAAATGGTCTTTAAATCCAATAAGTACAACAATTAAGTTATAAGTATTATTCCAACGAATAGACAATTTTTTAGGAAAAACACAATATTTGACACGTCTTTTCTCAAATGTTTACGCCATTGCTCCTTAACTTGACTACTAGCCCAAATAAGTATAATCCCCCCTTCACTAACTCCACAGTCTCTCCCAACACAATTAGCTAGGGTTGGATTTGGTTCGGGCCACCCGGCCTGTGACCCGGCCCGGCCCAGTACTGTGCGGGCCCGGGACCGGCCCAGGCGGGTGGTCCGGGACCGGGTGTGGACCCAAACCGGTGGGAATGCGCGGAGCGGGCACGGTTCCGGATAAATGTGACCCGGCCCGGCCGGGTCGGGCCCGGGCCAACGGTCGATTTTTAATTTTTTTTTTAAATTGGTACTAGGCTACTAGCCGTTGGGGGTGGGCTGGGGACAACCCAAACGGCTATATAGCCGTTGGGTGGGGTGCAGGGGGGGTCTAAGGGGTTGGGTGGGGGGGTGTGTGGGGTAAAAAACCTATAAATACTCCTAATCTTAAACATTTTTTCATATCTCTTCTCCAATTCTTCCTAAATCATATTCTTAACTCTCTACTCTCTAATTCTCTTATTCTCCGATATATTATATTTATTATTTATATATCTACTTTATAGTTTATACTTAAGAAGTTAAGATGGAAAATCAAGATGTCATTATACGGTATAATTTTGATAAGCAGAAGCACCCGAAGACCGGGATGTGGTACGCAATTTGCAAATGGTGCGAAAAAATGTAGCATGGGGATTTCAGGCGGATACGGGATGGCAATCAAGCATATGAAGTCATGTGACAAAGCCAAAGGATCGGGAGGTGCGGGAAGTTCCGATTGATTACAATTTTCAAAATGTTTATCTCTTAAAGTATGTTTTAATTTTCAAATGTAGTTCCTATTTCATTTCAAATAAATGCACTTGAAGTTTGTTTTTAATACTCGTATAAAACTATAAACTATAAATATAAATTATATTAAAAAAAAACTTTAACCGGCCCGGTCTGAACCGGACCCGACCCGTGACCCGGGCGGGTGGCCCGGCCCTAACCGGACCCGTCCAACCCTCGGGCTGGTCCCGGGCCCATGTCATACAAACTGGCGGCCCGACCCAGGCCCGACCCGGCCCGAGTCCATCAATATAATTAGCCCGTCTTTTACACATAAATTTAGAATATAACATGCGCAACGCTGATGAAGAAACATATCCATCAAAGTAGAAAAATCACACAATTCGCGCAATCTAGGTATAGCAGCAGTATTATTACTGCATTATCAAAACTCATAACAAACACCTTATCAATCAAATTGTACTCAATTAAAATACGCTCAAGGAGAATATAAATATTATCAGCGGTGTGTCGATCATTAAATTCACTACAAATACTAACATGTCCATCAAAGTTTGCGAAAAACATTTGTAATTTTTCTTTTTCCAAAACATATTTCCCTATAACTTCTTTTTTAATCGTTTTGAGACTAGTTTAGATATTGGGGATTTAAAGTACCTTGAACATATTCTTTTAAAGCAAGACTTTCAGAAAAAATAAGTCAGATTTTCTTCAACAATTAAGTGAGACATACCAGACAATTGTTTTTTATCATCATACCTTCAGACGCCCGGACTGGGCCCGACCCGGCCGGTTCCTATTCTGACGACCCGAAGCCCGCCATGAAAACAGGCGGTTCAGGTATAATGCACCTGGCATCCTGGCCCAGACCCAGGCCGACGGGTCAGACCGGTTAGTAACAGTAGCGGAGCGGGGCAGGCCGGGCCAGTTCCGATCCGGTTTACCCGACCCAAGTCCAGCCCTACTTTCACCTGACATCTGATATTCTGATTCTTCTAAGAGTAATTCTTTCGTCATTCATGAATTTCTTGACATTGCATTTGTCAGTTGTCACTATGAAATTGAGCTTCCCAAAAGTTTCTCGAAGAAAAGCATTCCAATCTCTTGATTAATCCGGGATAACTTACTTGATTAAATATTTAATTAACCTTGAGTTTATAAGTGAGATAAGAAGCACAAGTGATGTGTGAAAGGAAGATAAGAGTTTGATCGTGTGGCCTTAGATGCAAAGAAGATTGCAGTCTTCAGGTTATACAGAGAAATAGATATCAGTATATCACGTTCTACTATCAGTAATTCAGTATCTTACCCTTTTTTGAAAATAAAATCACACATTGTCACATTCCAGAAAGACTCTTCTAACGTCAAACTGTGAAATTCAATCTCTTGTTGTTCACAGTTTGACTTCACACAAATTAAAGAAATAAATTTGACTTTACTGTAGAGTACACTGTTGTGACACTGTTTGGCACTGTTTGACACTGTTTTGCACTGTTTTGATGTAGATAATTTGCCAAATAAGGAAGGGGGAAGAAGTGTGAAGTTTATTTTGGGCCTACCCAAAATGGAAAGTGTGAAGTTTATTTAGGACCGGAGGGAGTATTAAATAATTGCATAGCTCATTTATTAAACGAAATAATTGCATATCATAAATTTATTCACCCGTACTATTATATCCAAAACACACTCGATGTCTTCTCTAGTTTTTACATGAAAAGCTGTGGTTGTTAAAATAGTCAGACAATCTGTTTAAAAAAAGATCCTACGCAGTGTCCTCGCAGCAACACGTGAAGCTACTTTTCCTGCTAAATCAGTTGGTAATCGCAACAGCAACTCTTGTTGGGTATCTTGTGGGAGCTGCCAAATAATTATAATTAATATATTTTAATAGCACGTCTGATGAGGTTTACATTGGATCCGCTGAAGTTTAGCAAGTTCAGCCAAAAAGGTAGCCATAAAACCTATTTATTTCCTTTTTTAACCATTTAATGCGCGTTGTGTACCAAATAAAGCTGATAAACTGAGAACGGTGGCTACCAAATAGACCTAACTTTAATGGTAAAGACATGTACAAAATAAGAGCAAATGCATTGATACAACAATATTACCCCAATACCGCAAAGGCTCCCAGCTATTTGGGGTATGGGGGTCATATGTATGCAACCTTACCCCAGTACTAAAGCACAGAGAAATTGTTTCCGGATTAATCATGATAAAAATCACGTCGAAAATTACATGAACGGACTGCTGCCCAAAAAACGAGTCTTTAGCTCCATTGGAAATGATGGAAAGACAAAATTCATCATATTCGGGTGACTGCTGTGCTTTAGCTAGTATTTTAAAACTTGACTTGATTATACAGACAAGGCAGAATTAATGGTCGAACCGCTTACCCAGTCTATGTAAACAAAACCAAAATTTCATGTGTAAAATAAAATTTTCCATAAAGTTACTTTGTTTTATGTGTTGTAGATAAAATCACATAGATACTAGTTTTATTAAACATAGATAAAGCACGCCCGCTACATGTTTAATGCAAGTATAGTATGTACATGGTTGCTTTAGTAGACTAGTGAATTAAGATTTGAGAGCATGGGTGTAAGATCCCACATCCCCAGACGCGTCAAATATTTTAATTGAGATCCCACACGGGTACATGTTAAGGCAAGAATGGAATGTATATGGTTCCCATTGGTGTGAGAAAGAAGTGTATTTTCCCATGCACAGCAAATTTTGACTAGCGGCAACTTTTGGCTATTAAAAAAACGTATGGAATCTCAAAGTGCTGGTCTCAACTAAGTGACTAACATTTGAAATCATATGGAGATGTAAGAAAATTGGTCTATGCATACCGTATTTTACACTACACATAACTTTGCGCCCATGTTTTATTGTCTTTGAACAAGCACCCTAGAACGGATTATTTATGTTAGATTGTGCACTACAACATTTACCTGAATATCTGAAATTTTCACCCCAATTTCGAGTGCATGTTCAAAGAAAAACAATACATGAAGTGCAAAATAAAGCATCGTAGGTGGGAGCCTTTGCGGCACTGGGGTAATGATGATGGGTTAAACTTTAAAGCATGGGGTTCAAGATCAACTTTTCATTAATAAGTTAGCTCAGTAGCCGCTGCCGTCACCCCACCCTCCAAGTTCACTCCCACATGCATGCTCCCATCATAATATGTGGCCATAACACTCGCTCTTAGGATCAAGCAGGTAGGCAAATAAATAGAGCATAACAAATACCCTGATTTATTCATAACAATAAACCAAACACAAATATTTGATAGGTCATCTAAAGATTCTACATATTACTCCCTCCATCCTTTATAACTTTGTAATCTTTCCTTTTTTGGTTGTCCCAAAGACTTTGTCACTTACCCTTTTACTCAATTAATTGTGGTTTCTATTATTTCTCTCTCCTCTACACAAAACTCAATAACACAATTTTTACTTTATTATTCTCTGTGACAGTCAAACTTCGCAAAGTTTCAAAGAACGGAGGGAGTAATATTTACCTCAGCAATGACAGAAAGAAGTGATAGCAGTTCCTGAGCGGATCCAAAATGAGAAAGGGCAAAAGGTGCTCTGTTTGATAGCCCCCCCTGCTTAGAGTATAAGTTGAAGCCAATTAGCCTTCTTAAAAACAGTTAGTAATGAGGAGCGTCTAAACATAATGGTTGCCCAATTGCGTCATAAAACACCCTTAAATTGATTAATTTAATTCTGGTAAGAAGTAAGAATGCCTGGGGATAAGGCAATTACATACAGAAATTTTGTTTAGTGACTTCAAAGTTCAAACACGCATCACTAAAATGAAAACAATGATTACAAAAAGATCAAATCAATTGCATGAATCTAATATTTTTACTGTGATTCTCCAGTTTTTCATGCAGGCAACTCTTCAGACTCCTTGGTCCTTATAACATTCATATTCAATAAAACTAAATTGAGCATACCTATGTTTCAAAACCACAAAGATACCTAGTTTATCAATTGAGATCCATCTACCCTACAAGTTCATGATCTTTTTTATGGATTTCATTTAGCTCCCTTCCATTCACCAAAAAAAAACTTAACTGATAGACATGCAAGAAAATTCAAATCGAATTGTTCCGCAAAGATATTCTGTTCTGCCTGAAATTTGGTTCATGATGACACTAAATCTTTTTGATAGATGCATCCATAATTTATAACAAAAAAAAGAATATATATCTCCAATTTTCCACGTCTTACCATGCCAGGCCTTTTATCAAGTCCTTGTAGAAATAATATAAGACGCTGCAAATTTCTAAGATTAACAATGTCTTCATCTGTCATCAAAGAAAATGAATACGAAGAAGACAATGCTAGGTTTGTGGACACAGCAGTTGTTATAGAATCAAAAGTTGCAAGCCCGAGTGCATCCAACCCCTAATTATGAGAAGCAAAAAATGATACAGAAATATCAGTGTATTTGAATGATGAAAGTAAAACTAAGCATTGAACAGTTTTAATCTGCCCTCCCATTTCCATTGTAACTCAGAAATGCATACCTTAGCTAGCTCATCAAGAAGTACCTCTCTTAAGAATGTAACCTGAAAAGATCCTAAGTTTGTGATGTGTACATGTTACAGAACTCCAGAAACAATCATATGTCATTATACCTTTTTATTCAATGCAAAAACAAGAACTTGCTTGAAAAAGAATCTAGATTCACGGAAATGACTTTGCTCCCTAGTGAGGGTTCTCTCTTTCCGGGCACGGAGGGACTGTTAAAGACAAGTCAAGCTCTAAAAGATCTGGCAAGTGTATTCGGACATGTAATAGGATTAAGGAAGAAAAGTAAATGGATAACATTCTACGAGATCACAATAAATGAAGTAAAATAAACACCATGCATCATATTTTTCAATCTTCTACAGTCCGACTTGATTGCTCTTTTTAGGGGTATATTAGGAAGGGGTTTGGGGGGGATGTACTGCTATATAACTGGATAATGTTTTGAAATAATGATAAATTGGCCTAAACTCAATGTCATGGTCGTTTACATTTATCACCAGTGAGCATAAGTTCTCTTGAGTTGTAAACAACAAGTCCAAACCTTATTCCCAAAGGAGGAAATGTCATGGCCATTTATTTCTTACCGTGATTCTAAAAATCATATGTAACTCACTTCCTTCAGAAATAAGAAAACCTCCACCCTCCACACCTCACTTCCCCTCCACACCCTCCATAACGTCCCTTAAAGTCCATGAAATTTTGGATGCAAGAGGGCGTATGTTCTTCATTAATGATTACAATGTAAGGCAAACAAACTACATATGCACTCCGAAGGATATACATGGTCTGCGATATAATTTGGAGCTTTGTGTAAATGCGTAAACTTACCTCAGATATTAGAGACTCCAAACGATCTATCCTGAATTTACCATCCTTACAAAAAAAGTTTGGAATTAGAACTATGGTGGGGTAAATGTCACAGAACTTCACTTTGAGAAAACTAGAAGAAAATGCAATGCACCTTGTAAAGAAGGGCTCGTAGGGTAGATTTCAGTTTGGGTGAGCTGTCAGTCAGTACTTTCCTGGCAATCCAAGGATATGTACTGCCCAAAACCTTGTAATTCGGATCATAGCTTATCGCAATACCCTCCAACACAGCAAGGCTACATATCGCAGAAAAGTGAAATTTGCTATTGCTGATATCTGGAAAGTCTGGATATGTATTGGACATGTGTACCCCCCCCCCCCCCCAAAAAAAAAAGAAGTTGAAAATAATAATAATAATAATAATCTAAAATTCGTACAGCGTTGATGATGTTAAAATATGTAAAGAATTGATTATTGATGGACATTCAGCAGGTCTTATACTTATACCTATTCTTATCTGGTTGTCTACTAGTTTTATCATGGTTATCTTTTTTAGGGTACCTAGACCTACTATTAGATCTAGCCCTAACAAAAAAGACCTCGCCAGAATCCTTAGATTGATTACTATGCCCTCTAGAATGTTTTAAATCAAGTTCTTTACTTTTCAAGCCATTAATTACAATATCTAGTGTAATTTCATCTCTCACATACTTAATGGCAGATTTAACATCATTATAGGAATAAGGTACGACATTTAATAAAACAAAAGGAGTGTAATCATCGATATGCTTATCACAAGCCTGTTTATATTTTGAATCAACTTATGAAAAACATTCAGGTTTTCATCATATCTTTAGTTAGGTCAAGCCTAAACCTAAAGAATTTTTCGAGTAAAAACAGTTTTCTAGGTAAACCCGTGATGATGAGTCTCCTCACAACCTTATGTTGTTACTCTACACCACTTAAGACTAATAAGGTTGAGAATGTTGGAGGTATTGGTACTACCAAGGCCTCCCGTTCCATTTATTGTGTTAAGGCCTACACCCTAAGTTTAGCCCTTCATGAGTGTGCTCTATACCTAACCTATTTTAAAGTTTAAGAATAGGTCGAAAGCGTTGCGCCCCCGATGCCGCTAATCATTGGCTTTACCCGATAGAACTCTCACGTCAGCACCAGCTATCCGAAGGGAAACTTAAGGGGGAACCAGGTAGGCTTTAAGGTGGTCATTAGCAGAAATATAGTGTTTAATGAATCTGATTTCCCTTACTTGACCAAGTCTATTTCTAATCCTGAGTCTAGGTCTTATAATACTCCTAATGAGGTGGAGTCTCCTCGTTACTGCTCGTCCTTTACATGTTGATCATGTTAATAATGATGAAACTGTTTTGCATGATTCTGATTCCTCTGAGCATGATAGTCCAACCACCATTAGTGAGGTGGAGCATTTACATGAGCATGAATTGCATGATGTGAATGTGGAATTTGATTTTCATGATAACAGTGATTTCTAAAATAAACACAATGCATCATATTTTATTAAAGATTTTTTCTTCAATAAAATTCCAAATTTTTTAACTATTCTGGTTAAACTTGGGTTTGTTTTAGCATATAACGATGCTTGTGAGTAGTTATTCCTAACGGGGCTATGTTTTTATTGTGATTGTACCTAACATTTGGAAGCCCCGTTGGAACTTTTGCTTGACTTGTTTTGACAGATGGTCCGAATTAACCGAACTGGCAAGCGCTCCAGAAATGCCAATGCTGCCAGCTCCAGCAGGGCTACGAATGCACCCTACCAGGTGCAGTTTAGGGATGATGAGCAGATGGTCAAGTATACGGAATTTATGAAGAAGGATGTGGGGACAATGTACCACCCACATGAGCCCACATTAGCACAAGCGGACCTCAGAGACGATGTCATGTTCTTGCTACGTCGAGGATGGTGGCAGCATCTCTTTTTCGGGATCCGTGACCCGACTTTCAAAGAGGTGACCTGTGAAGTGCTCTCTTCCATCAAATTGCCCAAGCTGATCACCGAATAACTCCGGCCACTTATTAGATTCCGAGCATTTGGTGAAGACCTAGAGAATTGCATGAGTGTCCTTGAGCAACAGTTGGGTTTTCGAGAGGTGGAGGTAGCCGAACGGGATGTTCTGGGCTTATGTGAGCTGCCAACCGATGTCAAGTTGTCAACCGCCAAGTTTTCTGGGAGTCTATCTCCATAGGCAACACTGGGTACGACCCTCGGACATCCACCAGCACACTCCTCCATCTACGCAAGTACCGAGTTATTCACGCCCTCCTCAACTCCACCGTGACCGGGAAGGTCGAAGTAGGTGGCAAGGTGTCCGCTACCGACCTTCTATGCTTATACTGTATGGTGCACAACAGGAAGCCGCACATGGGCTTTGTTATCGCAGGACTTCTTCACCGCCAAGCCACACACCAAATCAAGGCTCTTTTCTGCGGTCCCTACATCACCCGCATGTTGGAAGGGATGGGATATGGAGATCAGCTCAGAGGGATGCAGGGGATCCTTATTTTCACCATTGACGAAGCTCCCGGAGGCCAACACGGGACGGGGAGCTAGGGTACGGCAGTAGGGAGCCGGAGGTCAGGAGCAAGGAGCCGAAGGTCAGGAGCAGGGAGCCGGAGGTCAAGAGCAAGGGGCATTGCAAATTATACTGGGTGGTGAGGCACACCACCACGAGGAGGAGCAGGAGGAAGAGAACGCAGAGCATCACGCAGAGGGAGGCGATTCCATGGACCATGATGCCGCATAGGACACTCCTTATGTGCCACCCCCTATGGACACGTGTATCCCGATACTTGGGCGGGGGTGCACAGGCACCAAAAGGACATTTATCATAGAATACACCAGGAGCAACAGACATGGCAGCAAGAGCAGCGCACGTGGCAACAACAGATGAGAGAGGATCAGCACACTTACTTCACCCGGCTGGATGAGCGTGTTTCTTCTCTAGAGTCCAGCTGGAGTGCCTTCAGTGCTAGACACCCGTCGCTGCCCCCTCCAGAGCTATAGATTATGCGATTTAGATGATCTCCTTTAGCTTTTGTATTTCCATTCTGTTGGATAACTGTATAATTTACCATCACACTCCTCACTTGTTATTCGTTAAACTGCTATATGTTTTGTTGTTTGATTTGTGCTTGCAGCTTTCTTTTGCATTATGGATGACGCGCAAAGATTCACAGTTGACTCAGTTCTATTTCTGCACCGACCAACGCTACGAGGGAAGTTCCTTGACTCTTATTCGCCTGTTTAAAAGGTTGACTTGAGTTGATTTGAGCATGTGTGACTCTTTCCTCTTTACCCTTTGTGCATAGTGCATTTTTGGTCATCGAGGGCGATGCCAAAGTTTAAGTGTGGGGGAGTGAATTGGGCATTCGGGCAGTAGTTGTTACATGGGATTAATAGATTTAGCATGTGCAGGTATTAATGGTATATTTATAGGGAAGTCATGTCAAAAAATTTGAAAATTTTTCTTTAAAATGCGTCTTTGTGAGCTGGTTAATGTGTTGACTATGCTTTTAAAACATCTTTGAAGTACTTAGGCTTAAATTGCTTGCACTATAATCTAGTTGTCGAGAGGATGAAGGCATTAGTCACCCATTGAATCGTTTCACAAATCATCCACTTGACCTGAAAAAAGTCCTTTAGGAGAAGCCACTTTGAGCCTGACCATTTCGTTCTTTACCCAATCAATTGAGCTCCAAAGCCAAATGACCTGTTTCCTTACCCGTGAATAAGTCTGACAAGGTTTTGATGTTTAGGGAACTAAGGGATTAATTTGTTAAGTTTAGGGAATTTTGGTAGGAGCCAATTTTGGCACTGTTCCTATGCTCCAAATGGGGTAAGAGCAGTCACTTTTTAGGAATTTGATACTTTCGAGAATTGCATTGTAGGCATGGATTCACTTTTAAATTAATGAACTTTAATTGCTATTTTTCCTTGGTGAGACCGAGATTAGAATGGGGTAATGTCTAGTGAGAATCCGAAAGGTGAAAAATTAATATAGTTAGACCTCTTACCTTGCGAAAAAGAGAATGGGAGCCCTGGTCAAAAAGCGTAAGTGTTTTGCACAATAAGATGAGACCTTGGGTATCTTTCGAAAGAAATGACGTTCTCGTGCCAACATGACAAGGAAAACTGAACTTATTTAATGAACTTGAAGGCTTTAGCAAAATTAGCTTTAGTCCTCCGCATACTTCAAGTATACGTCAAAGCACCAATGTGCCGCGGCGGTTTAGCTTAGTAGTACACCATGTCTACTCTTTGCATAGGTTTAGATGATTGTTCCTAAATTATGGCCTACTGAGTTCCTTGATCCTAAGAATAGCCCTGAAGTTCCTGAATGCATGAAGTCTTTGTTAGAATATTCCAATCTCTCAAAAGAAAGGGACTATTTATTACCATTCACCATTTACCATCACCTTCACAAGTCCTTCTGATCAACAGCTAGTTTATTTGTGTATGCTGTCATTACTTTAAGGATGTTGTGAATAATTCTCAAATAGTTTAGCTTGACTACAAAGATGTAGTTTAGGGAAGAATTTTCTTGGTTTAGATTGTCTGTTCTGTGAATATCCCTTTAGCTACGTGTGCATGCTAACGGTTTTAATTCCGTGTGGTGATTATCGTAAGTCCTGTTGTTCGATTTGCTTGAGAACAAGCAAAAGCTTAAGTGCGTGTTGGAGTCGGTTTTTGATAGTTTTCCTAGCTTTAAGGGGTTGCAAGCCTCAATTTTAGCTCAAGATGTAATTATTGGGCGTTGGGTCGAGTTTTGTGGCGTTTGAAGTCAAAATCAGAGAATTTGAGCCCGACATCAACATATGAGAAGCATTTGAGATGGGTTAAAGAGCGTTCGAGAAAGATTTGAGAGATTTAGAGGTCACCGGGAGGTTCATGACGAAGAATTGTTGAAAAATCAGCTTTTGGAACAATTGCGGGGGCATTTGGAGTGAGGAAAAGAAGAGAAAATCAAGTTTTTACATACGCACGGTCATGCCCATGAGGTACGCACGCTGTGCGTACGTGACAGTAAGCCCCAGGAGACGGAACGAGATCACGCACGACGTGTGTGCTGGGTATGCACGTCGTGTGTGCACGAGGGCCGAAGCTACTGAAGGGTACGCACGCCGTGCGTGACTGTTACGCACGCCGTGCGTAAGCGCGAAACGCGCATTTGCTCCAGACGCACGAACGCCATGCACGCCATGCGTAGCACCGTGCGTGGGTCCGAAACCCTAATCCTGGCCGAATTTTGCTGTGTTTCCTTTAAATATCACCTCCCTAATCCTTTTAAGGGGGGTGGAACTTAGAGAATAGCTTAAGGACGAATTTTGAGAGCTTTTCAGACTTGATTTTTCAATTCTTTAAGATTCTTTGTAAGTTCCTACTTTTTAATTAATGACAAATATTTCTATTCTTCCCTATTCTATTGATCTTTCAATTATGAGTCAGGAGTAGTTTTAATTAGGGATTTGGGAGTGATGAAGGGGTTAATCACGATGTATGGCTAGATTCTTGATGGTTTAAATTCATGAATGCCGTTTAATTTGTGTTTGAATGATTTAACTGATATCTTTTGTAACCTAGAACGCGCGCTAGAATTACAAGTGCTTGTAGAATAAATTAAGAGAGATCTAGTTTATTCTAGGACACATTCACACACACTTAATCGCTCGCTAAGAGATTAGTAGCAATTAAGGGGCCGTAAGCTCGCTCGTCTTGACAATAATTTAGGATCCTGTCGCATGAGAGATCAGCCTGGTTCCCTAAATTATTGTACTCTACGCCGCGAGAGCGGTAAGAACTTAGTATTGATTAGCTAGGCTCAATTAAATTAATTTCATGTAACTAAGTCTGATCTGCCAGAAATCTGATTACCCCGGAATCAATCCGTGTTCCCTTCGTCGTTAATTAAGAAGAACCCAAATCTTTACTTTTATTCGTTTATTTGCAATTTTAATTTTCTCAATCAACCAAATCTCGCACGACTGCATTTACTTTATTTCTTTTCTTTATCGCTGATTTTAGTTAGTCCTTAATTCCCTTTTTACCGTCCCTGTGGAGACGATACTCGTACTTTCACCGTTATTCTACGATTCTTTTTTTTGTGCGAGAAAACTCACATCAAGACCCCTCAAAATAATCACGGGTCTAACAAAGTCAAACAAAGGGAGGAGCCCAAACAGAAGGCAACAGACAGAAATCAATAAGTAAGCCAACGTTTCAAAATAGGTTAGGTATGGAGCAGACTCATGAAGGGTTAAATGGGAGTAGGGCTAAACTTAGGGTACAGGCCTTCACACAATAAATGGAACAGGGGGCCTTGGTAGGATCAATAACTCCAACATGTAATAGCTTAAAGAGTGTTGTGCAGCTGGTTATAACTTGAGCATATGTTAGAAGCAAGATAGCAAAGATGGAGCATGTGGGACATAGCAGAGCAAGGCCAAATCACATTGTCATTGATGGGATACACGTCATGGGTACATTGAGCACTTTTACAAAGACGGGGTAGAGTACTCAAAACTCTCATGGAAACGGTACAGGGTGTGGTTTGGTTGCACGGAGCGGGAATGATGTGTGTAATCAGGTGCAGGGTATGTCTAGTGCTTCCAAATTACTAATCGACAATGCTTACACGGTCAAAAATGCATCCCGCAAAAATGTGACATAGCAAACTTGTGAGTTGTGACCCTGATAGTGAAGATGCCTTATTGTCTATAAAAAATGCAATCCAGGGAGACTCAAGAGATCAGAAATTCTTATTACAATCAAATAATTACCATGCTTTCATTTTTGGCTTCCGTAGTGATTCGGTGGAGTTAGTTTCATCAGGGACCAAATCCAATATATTACTATGCTCATTAACCCTTGATCCTTAGATCTACTTTTTCATACATATCCTTTTCCATTTTTTCTACTTTTCCTGTTTTTCTTTTTCTTTCTCCTACTTTTTTCACGTTTCTACACTGTTCACGTAAGAACCTACTGGAGCAAAGTAAACAAATGGAGTATGAATTAGTTTGCTTAAAAGTTAAATAAAAGATATACCTCCGAATTACTAAAGAAAAATAGGAAGGTATCCGGAATTTGAATTTGTACCTGCAAACAGAAGCATTGACACAGAATGTAATAGTATGAGAGTTTTTATTGATGAAATATATATTGTACATTTGAATGATAGATTGAATATTATGACTTTTCGGAAGTGAAATAAAAATCTGGTCACATAGGTGGGGGTGGGAGAGCTTTAAGGAAAGTTTACTTCCTGTTTAAAATTTAAACAATATTCATTGAACTGTGATTTTTCCATCATTTGCAATGGAGCCAAAGATTCATTATTTTTTGGCTTGAGATTATGATGGAATAAAGCAAAATGGCTCGCTAAACTGTCTGCGCTTCTTTGTTATGGAGCAACCGTCAGTTCATGCAATTTTGGACGCGATTTTCACTATGGGTCATCCGGAAACAATCTCTCTGTGCTTACTACAGGGGTAAGACTCGTACATCCGACCCCCCTTACCCCACCATAGGTGGGAGCCTTTGCGGCACTGGGGTAAATGAAAATGAAATGAGATGATGATTCATTGAACTGTGATAGAATGTGTTATATAAGCTCATTTTTTGTAAAAACACTTCTGCTGAATTGAGAGGTAACTAGCTAATTTCAGAGTAAATTCAAGAAAAGAGAGATGAAGAAAGAGTGAACAATCTCACGAAGGTCGATTACAGAGAAGAAAGAGAAATACAAAGGCAGTTTAAGAGTGCGCACTCTCCAAGTCCCAAGCCCAAATAATAATTCCAACCCCCTTTTTTTACTCCAGGGGGTCTGGGGGAGGGGGCCTGGGGGCCTGGACTAATCAGGGCTGAAACTCACTCCATTATGTTTCAAACCCTCATGTGCCTAGCGGGTTACGAACTCGAGACCTCCCACTAGGCACGGTAACCTCACAACCAGCTGGGCTGGAATGCTTGGTTTTCAACCTCCTTCTATTCTACCCTCAACCTCTATTTATACTAACTCTAATACTCTTCTAATTTCTTATTATTCTATGTGGGTCCCTATCATTACTCCCCCATTGACAACCACCTTGAACTCAAGGTGGGTGATAGGAGACAGACTGACGAACAACTTCTTCTTCATCTTTGTGCCTCTTTCTTCCCAGTATCTTCCAAATTTCAAGACCCTGAGCTTCATGAACTGAACCACTGCTATTACTTTTTCCATATGCCTGAAACTCGCTTCATTGAGTTTCAAACCCTTATGTGCCTAGCGGTTTTGAACTTGAGACCTCCCACTAGGCACGGTAACCTCACAACCAGCTGGGCTGGAATGCTTGGTTTCCAACCTCCTATTCTACCCTCAGCCTCTATTTATATTGACTCCAAGGTTGTCAAAAGCGCTCACCCCAGCGCTTAAGCGCACAAGGCGCAACGACCTACACCCCCAGCGCCTGAGAATAGGAGAAGCGCGCATACTAGGGTCAAGCGCAGCCTAAGCGCAGGAAGCGCTGAAGCGCTATGAGGCGCACGCCTGGGTCGCCTGAGACGGAAAAGGCTAACATCCTTTTTGGGTTTAAAACTTTGAAAAACAACTAGCCCATATATCTTTAATAGCACTCAGCCCATGAAAACAATAGGGTAAAGAAAGTTAAACCCACGTAAAAGTACATGTAAAACTACGTAAAACCCATGTAAAACTTGCGCAAGAGTCAAGACACTACAACTATCATCGCTAGCCATTCTTGCTCTTCACTCTCCTAGCTTTCCTCACTCGACGCTGAATACTAATAGTAATCTGGTTTTTTATTTTTTAGTATATTAATATGTATATAATACTCATAGTACTCTGCTTTGTGAGTTTTTAGTATATTAGTATGTATATAATACTCAAAGTACTCTGCTCTGTGATTTTTTAGTATATTAGTATGTATATAATACTCATAGTTCAAGATATATGTTTATAGTTAATACTATTAACTAATTCCAGCTTTGATCAACTATTAACTAATTCCAGCTTTTATAATATGTATATAATACTCATAGACTCATAGTACTCTGCTTTGATTATATAGTTAATAACTTAATACTATATAATACTCACAGTTAAAGGTATATTTTTAAGTTCTTATAAAAGGTATTAAAGCCATGAATTCTAAATTTGGACTTTTATTTTTGTAAATCATGACTTTATTTTGGTGAATCCTAGCTTTTTTATGCATTTGGTTCAATACGATGTTACATACATCATATTTGGTAATTATAGAATAGTAATATGTGATTTTATATAAGTAATGCGCTTCACCCGAGTCAGGCGAGCGCTTTTTTGCGCCTAATGCATCAGGCGCTAGAAGACTCCTAGCGCTTCAGGTGCGCCTTTCGACTTTGACTACCTTGATTGACTCTAATACTCTTCTAATTTCTTATTATTCTATGTGGGTCCCTATCATTACTCCCCCTTTGACAACCACCTTGTCCTCAAGGTGGGTGATAGGAGACAGTCCTGACGAACAGCTTCTTCATCTTTGTGCCTCTTTCTTCCCTGTATCTTCCAAATTTCAGGACCCTGAAGGCCTGAACTTCATGAACTCAACCATTACTATTTGTTTAATACGTATTACGTACTTTATTACTAGTTTACTACTTTACTTGGATTAAGATGTACAATTTAATTTAATCAGAAATATTATAATTAACTTCATTACAGTTTGGTTATATCTAAAACTTTAAGCTTTTATGTTTTGTCTTGGAATTTTAGTGTTTTATGTTCTTTTGAGTTTTGACTTGGGCATTTCAATTTTATGTTATCCTGACTTGGATGTTTTATTGTTATGTTATTTTTACTTGTGATTTTGTTTAGCTGTTACGTCTCGAGGCTTACGTCTCGTGAGGCTACCATCAAACGCCTTGGGGCTCAATTTCGCCTTTCAAAACCTTGATTCAAACCCCTCCCACCATTTCTGAAAACTGATATAGGGACCATGTGGATCTGCTCTATACCTTCAATATCTCTAGCCTCAAAATATTTTTTAAGGAGAAAACTGTTCCTCTTGTTTGCTTCAAACAATTCTGATATGCGCGTGAACCATGTTCCAAGCAGCCCCCGAGAGAAACATTCCTGAATTCTCTTTGCTTCCCTAACTGGATCAGCATCCAACTTTCTTAGCTCAAGTGAGGAGAAAAATCCTTTTAAGATTTTTCCAAGCAAGTAGGGCTCCACTTCTATATTTCCAACATCATCAACTAGCTTGGATTCCATTAAAATTCCACAACTGGAACAGTTCACTTCAGGATCATTGAAGCATAAAACCATTTTATAAGGTTGAAACTTTACTTCAGCTTCCATTCCATTAACAATTTCTGGTTTTACACATAAATCCATGAGTTGTTCCCTCTGGGCGACATAAACTACAGCAACCTGAATAATAAGGTCCAGATCCACACTGATTTTACTCAACTGGTATTCAGGAGCAAACTTATCATCCCATCTCAGTCCGGAACTAGAGGAGTCCCAAATTGCAGAAAGTATCATACTGCCGCCTTAAACTGGCAATCTAGGTTAGACATCTGAGTGAGTGAAGACGGATCCTTCAATTGCACTGATCTGTGGATCATTCTTCCCCAATTGCTTTGCTAAGGTACCCTGAAATAACACAACACCTTCACCCCTAAATTCTTGTTCCTGACTGTCAACCTTTCCAACATATTTCTCCATCCCACTTCTATTAGTAAGTGTGTGAACACTGTCACCCAATTCCCAATCATCCTCTCTTTTCCTGAGGATCTTAACCCATTGACCAGCAATTGTCATATGAAACCTATAGTCCAAATCTGCACCTCTCCATTGAACAGATTTACAAACTACTGCCTTTCCCTTCCCATTTTCACCAACGATTAATGCATCTGTGAATAGATCAGGTATGAAATTATTGACAAGCATCCGAAACACCTCTGCCTCAACATTAGTAGCAAGTTCCCAGCCTAACTGAAATAATGCCAGCCTTTTCCTTACAATTCCAAGTCATTCCTACCCCCAATCCATTTTTGGACACACTTCACAGAAATATCATCATTAAATCTGAAGGCATCAAACTTATTCAGCCATTCCAAAATTCTCTTTGATAAATGAAGGTGCACAATCTCCCCTATATCCCCCAACTCACGTTCTTGAACTCTTCCCAACAAAGAGCATACCTTCGACCCTCATAGGTAAGGATAGATGGGTGATACAGGCCTTCCTCATCAGCCCCTGTGCTAGTGTTTTTCAGTTCCCAGGCAGGATCATTGTGGTCAGTACGATCATTGTGGTCAGTGCGATTTCATATTCTGGATCCGGCTCGGGAATTGATGGTGCAGATGTCTTCAACTCATCCTTCAGTATTGTCGAAGGAGATTCACTTCCTGATTCTACGAGGTTTATAGCTTGCGCAGGGTGAGAATAGTTGGAGTTCAGTGTAGCCGCTGACATTTGCGCATGGTGAGAATCGACTTGTGGTGGCGATCGATGATGCTCGGTTAAGCACAGCGAACTGGTAGAAACGTTTAGCGCTTGAGATGAAGTTTGAGAACTCAGCGAACCAAGTAGCGGCGAACTCTGCTAACTCGACGAAGTCTGCAAACGTTGAAGAGGTATTTGCAAACTGCTCTTGCTTTTCGAGTTCCGACAGCGCTATATGGTTTTTGATCTTCCTTGCACACGTTGAGCGTTCTGCTGCAAAATCAATTCGCACAACTCTGCGAAATCTTTCTGCACTTCCTCGCGATGGTTCCGTAGTATCTCCTTGCGATGATTCCACATCTCCTCGCGATAACGTTCAAAATCACGCTCCAAGATCTCCAGTTTACTTTCCATCTTTTCTCACGTAGTAACCATTGACAGGCGGCAAGAAGGAAGCTCTGATACCAATGATAGGTAACTAGCTAATTTCAGAGTAAATTCAAGAAAAGAAAGATGAAGAGTGAACAGTCTCAAGAAGGTCGATTACAGAGAAGAAAGAGAAATACAAAGGCAGTTTAAGAGTGCCCACTCTCCAAGTCCAAAGCCCAAATGATAATTCCAACCTCCTTCTATTCTACCCTCAACCTCTATTTATACTAACTCTAATACTCTTCTTATTTCTTATTATTCTATGTGGGCCCCTATCATGAATTCAACAATTCAACTTGAATATAGGTAACTTTAGTATGACATGCTCATTAGAATATTTGATTATGCATGGAAAAATGTACATCATATATAAATGTCCACTTATAAAAATATTCGCTTTTTACTTGAAAATGAAAATGGAGTGGTTTAGCAGGAACAAATTGTACATGTTAATTCCTAAATCTGCAAGAAAATCCCCAAAGCTTATATTCTGGACTCCTTTTGCAACAACATCTTGGAAAACACCTAAATCAAGAGAAAATAGTTGGGTTAGTACATAAGAAATATATATTCGACTCTATTTGTATGACTGTTACACCCCCGTCCCATATGGTCCAACTTTTTAATTTGAGTCAACTCCATCAAGTTACACTCTTCTACAAATTTTGAATGGTCAATTATACCCCTAAAACATATTTTCAAGATTGCTTTGAGTACATGACAATCCACTTGCTGCTTGGCTTTTATAGAAAAAATTACTTTAAAATGAAAGTTGACTTAAAATACCAGACCTTTTTTGGATAAAAGATCTTGAAACAGAGCTCTTTAATTGAGAGAGGGGAGTAATTGATAATGTTCTTCAATGAGAGAAAATAGATGAAATAAATACAGATGCAGAAGCAAAAACCAGTTAATGCCGTTGTAACTGCAACCTTGTCAGCTGTTGGGGGAAGAAGCCTATTAATATCAACACTGAAACATGATACACAGTAATATCATTATTTACAGTGATTCAAGAGAGAAGTAACCACAGTACCCAAGAGTGACGAAGTCCTTGGCCAGTGCATCATAATCACGATTTACAAGATGGAGACATGCTTCCATGAAGCTATCACGAAGTTCTTGTTTAAATTCGCCCATCATTCCAAAGTCTGGAGGTTTAAAATAAGCCAGTATATTATTGCATTAACACGATACATTAATGACATTTCAAAATACATACTCCCCCTGTCCCTTTTTCATCTTCATTCTTTCCTTTATAGTCAGTCCAAAATTATCTTCTCTTTCCTTTTAAGGAAAGGATTTGGTGGCAGATATTGTTTCTCTCTATTCTAAATAAATCTCATCTAAACACTTTACGCATCCTTGAAAAGTGTGCAAAACCAAACGAGGAGCTAAAATAGGGCCAAAGGAGTTACTGTAGACTTAAAGTTCTGAAAAACAATTACTCTTCAATTAGTAGTAAACACAATCATTTCTACATACCACTTTCCACAAAATAAATTGAAGCTTTCAAAACAGGAATTCAGCTTATGAACACACCCCATAAATTAAGTATTGTGGATCTCATTGCAAAATGAACCAAGAAACCATATTCATGTAGTCAACACTAAACCAGGATACATAAAACCACTTGTGTGTCTACATGTCATTTCATTTAATACTGATTGAAGAAACTATGTACCTAAGTAAGCTAGCTTTCCATCATATGTACGAAGAAGGTTTCCAGGATGCGGATCTGCATGATAAAAACCATTTTCCAAAAGTTGATTGAATGAGCAGTACACACCAACCTGATTATAAAATAAAAAATTCAGCCAGTGGGCATCTGTTACAGAAACTATACCAACACAGCCTAAACATTGACAAAGTAGTGAGGTAAATGAATGCTAGATAAAACCTCAATCAAATAAAGATCCTTCACTTCAGCCAGCTTTGTCCCCTGCAAAAAAAATTGATTTAATATCAGACAGATTTATGAAATGCCGACCCCATACTCTTTTAGGATTAAGGCGTGGATGTTGTTTGTTTGTTGTTAAGGTTTACACAATGCCATCAAATGAAGTGTTGAAATATAAACTACAATGATATTAAAGATGGAGAGAAGGATTTTCTGTGTATTTCATTAGTTGTGGAAGTCCCTATAAATATATATTACAAATAGAATATTCCTATATAAGATTCGATACAATAATAATATCTATGGTATATTCCTAATATATTCTAAAGCATATTCTAAAGTATATTCTAATATACTTTCACACTCCCCCTAAAGTTGGAGCATAGATCTTTATCATACCCAACTTGTTACATAAATAACCAACTCGAATTCCATTTAGTGCTTTAGTGAACAAATCTCCATGTTGTTCCCCGGTCTTCACATATCCTGTAGAGATCAATCCTTTTTGTATCTTCTCTCGAATAAAACGACAATCGACCTCAATATGTTTTGTTCTCTCATGAAACACTGGGTTGTTGGCAATGTGTATAGCAGCTTGGTTATCACACCACAGTTTAGCAGGCATTGGTGTCTTCAATCCAATTTCACTCAATAAATGGTTTATCCAGATTATCTCACATGCCGATTGTGCCATAGCACGATATTCTGATTCGAAACTAGATCGAGAAACCACATTCTGCTTCTTACTTTTCCAGGAGACAAGATTACCACCAACAAAGACGCAATAGCCAAATGTAGATCTTCTATCATCTTTAGATCCAGCCCAATCAGCATCTGCAAAGCATTTTATTCTCATGTGCTCATGATTTTGATAAACAATACCTCGTCCTGGTGTCCCCTTCAAGTAACATAATATATGTTCTACAACATTCCAGTGATCAACTGTGGGATATGACATATACTGACTCACTGCACTCACTTGAGTATGCAATATCTGGACGAGTAACTGCGAGATAATTAAGTTTTCCAACTAATCTTCTATATCTCTCTGGATCTTCGAACGACACACCTTCGTGAGTAAGTTGTACATTAGGAATCATAGGAGTATTGCTCGGCTTTGCCCCTAGTTTCCCTGTTTCAGCTAGCAAGTCAAGTACATACTTGCGTTGAGATAGAAATATGCCTTTCTTGCTCCGTGTTACACCTCAATACCCAAGAAGTATTTCAATGAGCCTAGATCTTTCGTCTGGAATTGGCTATGAAGAAAATTCTTAAGAGCCAAAATACCTGCTGTAATCACAATATCATCAACATACACCACAAGTAATGTGATACCTGCTTTCGTTCGTTTGTAAAAGACAGAGTGGTCTGATTGACCTTTTATTGTGCCAAATCGTTCAATTGATTGACTGAATTTTCCAAACCATGCAAGGGGACTTTGTTTCAAATCATAAAGAGACTTGCGAAGTCGACAAACTTTCCCATACTCCCCCTGAGCAACAAATCTCGGAGGTTGATCAATATAAACTTCTTCCTGAAGGTCACCATGCAAGAATGCATTTTTAATGTCCAACTGATGTAAGTGCCAATCATGAGTTGCAGCGAGAGAAATAAGTAACCTGACAGATGTTAATTTAGCAACACGAGAAAAAGTGTCAGAATAATCAACACCATAGGTTTGAGCATAACCCTTCACAACTAATCGAGCTTTCAACCGAGCAACAGATCCGTCTGGGTTAACCTTAACAGCAAAGACCCACTTACATCCTATAGATTTCTTCCCTGTAGGCAAGTCAACCAAATCTCATGTACCATTAAGATCTAAAGCATTCATTTCCTCTACCGTGCCATGACGCCATTCAGGATAAGACAAAGCTTCTTTAACAGATTTGGGAACAGAAATAGAATCGATGGAAGCAATAAAAGAACATGACTACATGAGGCAGGGGATAGCTGACTATACGACACAAATGAAGAAATAGGATGAGTACAAGACCGTGTACCTTTACGTAGTGCTATCGAAAAGTCAAGATCTGATGTAGAGACAAGATCTGAAGATGCATGTACCGGTTCAGGACATGATATCAAGGATGGACCAATATCAGGATAAGTAATCACAGGTGTCACTGGTGGAGCGTGATCTGGTGCTCTGTTTCGACGGGTGTAAATCAAGTGTACTGGAGGTCTGGGGTCGGGAACATTAACATGTGGAATAACTACAGAAGGTGTAGATTCCGGTATAGTGACAGAGTAAATGAGTATTTCATCATTGTGCCCATGAATATCTGTCTTGGATGATGAAAAAGGTGTATTTTCATGAAATGATGCATCAATGGAAACAAGATATCGACCTGTACTTGGACAAAAACATTTATACCCTTTATGAACTCGAGAATAACCCAAGAAAATACATTTTGATGATTTGGGGTCTAACTTTGTAAGATGAGGATTAACGTCTCTAACAAAGCAGGTGCAACCAAATATTTTAGGTGGGATAGGAAAAAGCTCTTTATTTGGAAATAAGCAGTGATAAGGAGCTTTACCGTTTAAAACAGAAGACGGCATACGGTTTATCAAAAAACATGGGATGGACTCACCTTGGAGAATAAAAGATCTAACTGATTGGGCTTTGACTGAGCCCGTTTGTAGACTCGGCCTGGAGAATAAAAGATCCAACTGCTTGGGCTTTGACTGCTAATCTAGACAGAAGGTCGATGCTAGAGTGCCAGACCCCAATGAAGAAGCGTGCGTATGTCCGTTATGAAGCCTGGAAGGAAGAAACAAGATTTCCGCGTAGCCTGGACGGTCTCGTTTCGATGTCAGCGTACTGAAGAGCTGGAACGAAACGCAACCATCCCAAAGAGACGCTACAGCAGAAGATAGGCGATATTCAGGCGAGCTGGTTGGCGTTTTCTGTTAGAACTTCCGCAATTCCAGAATCATTCACAGAGAATTAAGAACAAAGTAAAGAAAACTGAATTTTACTCAAAGCAGGTAAACCGTACAGAGTAGTCCCAAAGAAGGAGATAGACTCCAACTTCCCAGTCCCAGTCCAATCTCAATTTCTGCCTAACCTCCTCTTTCCCCACTTCCCACTCTTATAATAAGGCTACCCTCAAGGGCTGGCCCAAAATCATAACATAAATGGCCCAACAACCTTATTTGTACACTATTACATTATTTATTATAATTCTATTATTCTTATTATTATAGGCTGTCTATGTCCCTATCATATCTCCCCCCTTGAACAACCACCTTGTCCTCAAGGTGGGTGATAGGAAAGAGCCTTGTTGACCTTCAACATCTTCTTCATCCGAGCGCCTCTTCCTTCCCAATATCTCGCAGTTTGTTGAATCAGAAGCTTCAGTACTTGTACCTCCAAAATCACAGATGTTGCGGCTGCAGAAGATATGTCGTGTGCAGTTTCATTTGTTGCAGTGGCCTTCAAGCACTTACTGGCTACAATTAATTCCTCTTTTTAAAAAAACTCCTCAAGGACTCTTACTTCGGGAGTCATCAGTGAGTTGGATGCAGATTTGAGGTTGCTCAAATTACTCAATTCACTGTCTACAACAAGCCTTATGCAAAATAAGTTGTGCACCACAGTACTGCCATGCGATGTCAGATTCTCCAACCGCCAGAGTCCCAAGTCTGGGAAGTTTTCTTCTTTCCTTTCCCTTATAAGAGAGCCAATAGCTCTTGCAGCAACAGAATGAGCTTCAGGGACTGGTTCCTGATGAACTTCGGTCAGAATACTCAAGAACATATTGGTTTCCCGATTCTTAAAAGTGATGACCGCCCCAAACTCCTGTATTTTATGAACATGTCCTTCAATATTGCTACCAAGAGCAGACTCATCAGTCCATCTCAGTACAGAATCAGAGGAGTCCTGAATTGCAGAAAATACCACATTGCAGCCTTCCACATCCAGAACCGAAAGCTGATCAACTTTAAAATCAGGCTTCAAGATAGACTTCATCCACCCAACCTTATCAATAAAATCAATGGATGTATCTGGAAGATATCTATCACTCTTGTCTCTAGGTGAAAGTTGCACAGCAGCTGTTATGGCCTCATAAGTATATTTATACTTGCTATACTCATCATTCCACTGCTGAGGTTTGCTCGTATAACCTCCTTTTTCCTTCCATTCCTTCCTGTCTTCATCTCTGAACTTCAAAACAGTGCCTACCAGTTTAATGCTAATCATTTGTATGATTAACTTTTGAAACCATTCTGGATGAATTCTTCTAGTCAGTGTCTTCTGCAGAGGATTCCATGTATAAGCAGTTGTCTGCTCCTTTTCCCCGGTAAACCCATTCACTGTGATTTCCTCAAACCCCGTCTTCTCCTTAATTACGTCCTTGATTTCCTCTTTCATATTCATTTGCCTGATTACAGGTTCAGTTAGTTCCATCTGTGTCTTCTTTATTGACTGGGCAATATCTTGTTCAGGGTGAGAAACTTGCAAACTACTAGAAGTTGTTGGTGACCTTGATGATACCTGTTTTTCTGTCCTCCCTGTCTTCTGCCGGTGTCTAGGTGGAAAATCCCTAATCAAATCTTCCTTTAAAGCCTCCCAACTATCTTCTCTCTTGTGAAAGTCCCACCATTGAAACCAGCCATTTGCTGCATCCCCCATTGCCTTTGCTGCCATGTCCACTTTAAATCTTTCTGCAATAGCTTGGACTCGGAAATATCTTTCCATCCTTTCTGTCCATTTGTACGCTTCATCCTCATAAAATAGAGGTAATTTCTCCGTTTTTGAATTAGCTGAGTTCCTAGAAACTGCTTTAGAAGAAGATAGCAAACTGTGAGAATCATTTGGTGAAGAAGAAGATTCTCTTCTCAATTGTGTCTTCCTTGAGTGCGAACTGATGTCCTTTGAGATAGTCTGATGCGAAGAGCGATGATAAGAATGATGAGAAGAACTCTTCGAAAATCTATGTGAAGAGCTTGGCGAAGAAACAGTTCGATCGCCAGATTTTCTGGGATGCCTCCGCTCTTCTGAGTCCTCTGGACTCGCTGACCTTCGCGTATGA